GGGCTGGGGCCAGTGGGGAGGGCGAAGGGGGGAGATGGGCTTGGGAGGGGGTCCGCACCCCCCAGCCTGAGCCTTCCCAGGGGTCGGGGGTCCCATGGGCAAGGGGAGGGGTCCCACCAGGTTGGAGCCTCCCGCTCCCCAGCCCACGTGTGCAGCGAGCGGCTCGGGTCTCAGCCCCAGCTCAGCGGGGCAGGATCGGGCAGCGAGATGGCTCCCGGCTGGCAAGAAGCGGTGTCCCTGGCTGTCCCCGGGGGCTGGAGGTGGCCGTGCCCTCCACCCCAGGACCGCATCTCCCAGCAAGATTGTGTCCTGCGGCGGGGCCGGGGGTCTCTGGCTGGTGTTAGCAGAGCATTAGGTGAGGGGGGGACAAGGACAGCCCTGTCCCCAGGTGGGCTGGGATGGTGGGGGGGGACAGCCCCACTGGTGAGCACCCACAGGGGTCCCTGGGGGAGCTGCCCGGTGCCGCAAGGAAAATGGCCCAGGAGGACGGGACGGGGGGAAGAGCTGGTGGCACCTCCAGGGCTGGTGGCACCTTGGGGGCTGGTGGCACCTCCGGCGGCGGCGGCGGCAGCGTCCCGGTGGGCGCTCAGACGTTGCTGATGCGGACGCTCAGGGGTGCTCCCTCCCGCTCCCGCTCCGCCGCCTCCCGCAGCGACTCCTCCAGCTTGACCTTCTCGGGGTCCCCAAACCGGACGGTCTCATGGAGGCAACAGGGCGTCGTCACCTTCACCACCTGGTCGAAGAGGCTGAAGTCGGCCACGTACTTGCCGCTGGCCGAGAGGGAGATGGCCGGGGTGAACTCGTAGCCCCAGAGGATCTCCTCGGGCAGGTAGGAGGTGCGCACCTGGCACGTGGCACTGGTGGACTCCACGGTGCCACTGAGGATGACCACCAGCTCGAAGTCGCCTTCGCCCGTCCGTAGGGCCATGTCCCGGAAGGGGCTGGCGTCATCCACCACATGGTAGAAGGTGAGGGGCAGGATGAGGAAGGGGCTGTCGGAGGAGGTGTCCACCTGGAAGTCCACGTTGACCTGGTTGAGGCGGACGCTCTCGCCCTCCTTGGTGAGGTGGGTCTGGAGGAGCTTGCCTGTCACCTGGCAGCCGATGAGGAGGCTCTTGCGCATGTTGGCCACGCGGATCATCAGGCAGGTCTTGCCGTTGTGTTGGGCCACCACTGCGTTTTGGCTGAACTTGATGGTCTCGGCACGTTTCTTGGGCCGGGCGATCTTGGCCAGGAAGGTGCCGGTGATGAAGATCTCCATGATGGTGGTGAGGACCAGCTGGGTGATGAGCAGGACGATGGCGAGGGGCCCCTCCTCGCTGATGTAGCGGAAGCCGTAGCCAATGGTGGTCTGGGACTCCAGGGAGAAGAGGAAGGCACCGGTGAGGGTGTGCACCTGCATGACGCACGGCGTGTGGTTGGCCGGCGGGTCGAACTCCAGCAGGTCCCCGTGGACCACGGCCACCAGGTACCAGATGACGCCGAAGGCGAACCAGGTGCCGGCGAAGGTGGCGGAGAAGAGGACCAGCTTGTACCGCCACTGCATGTCGATGAAGGTGGTCCACAGGTCCTTGAGGTACAGGAAGCGCTTGTCGGCGATGTGCTCCATCCGCACGTTGCTGCGGCCATCCTTGGTCATCACCCGCCGCCGGCGCAGCCCTGAGCCGATGAGCGGGCGGCTGTCGGTCTGCGTGGTCTGGCTGTAGTACACCTTGGTGGCCGACGTCATCTGGAAGAGGCGGAGATGGGGAAGGGGGGTGAGGAGGTGCCACCTGGGAGAGGGGGGTCCCGGAGGGGAGTGGGGGGACAGGGAGGGGAGGGAGGGGGGTGTTGAGTCAGTGGGTGGAGAAGAGGGGTGGAGAGGATGGGTGGG